ACGCCCCCCCCCCCCCCCCGGTCTCTCTCTCTCTCTCTCTCTGCACCACTTTTTTTGGGCTTCTAGTTATCCATTCAGTCCCAGTACCATATGATCATATCAAAAGAACAAACCACACGCGGTGGGATTTTCATAGTACACCTATAGAGAGAAAGAGAGAAAGGTTATCAATGGTGGATTGATGATAAGGAATGAGGAACAGTTCGCGATTTTTGGACTTATACGGCTCTCCAACGGGGGAGAATTACTGGCCGCTGAATAATGTTATGTGGGGCCAGTATTGTCCTTGATGAATGGACGGCGTTGGAGGACGTAGCCACCGATCTTACGGGGCAACGATTAGAAAAACATAAAGCCCTGTTTGCCTTAATTTTTCAAAATTCAAAATTTCTTAAATTTGTTTTCAGCGATAGCTTATACGTCATGAAAATCACAATTTTTATAAATTTGTTAACCATATATTTCACAATTTTTTTTTATCAAAATTCAAAATATATATGAAAGTATAATTTTTAAGCATTAAGCATTTCTTGTTATACAGTTGAGCCGCAAAAACTTATTCGATTCTGTCCATTGGCTCGAAGCCCACAAGACGAGCAGTCCAAGAGCTGATAATTTTTTCTCTTTTAAAAGAAAAAAATAAATAAATTGAAACCATCCTCCTTTTTCGAGCTTGAAATTGACTCTTTTATCGTATGCAAAGCTAAAATTAAACACAAACGGGATATTATTTGTATAACTTTTTTCAATAAAAATTAAAGAAAAATTAAAGTTATGTCCACTTTATCTTGAAATCGGAGCGTTGCATTACTCCATCTTCGATCTTCTTACATGGATGACATCTTTGAACTGAATCTACATATACTCTCTAGATAAGAATCCAAATAGAACTTCTTAGCGTAATTATTGTCTTGAAAAAATTGGTTGCCTTCATGACTTCTAAGAAAATTCTGAAATCATTCTTTAACATTACTAGAGCCCCCTTAAAAATCTATTTCAATGTCATGGCTTACAAATAATCAATCAAAAAAAAAAAAAAAATCGATTTGGATTCATATCTAGATGTAAAATTCGTTGATCTCACATTTGAAATAACATATAGAAGAAAAAGATAGTTATACTAGAATTAGACATGAATAACTCAAATAAGTGAATCTAGAGACAATAAAAAATTAGTTTGCAACAAAGAACTAGTATGGATTTTGTGTAGCGCTTTGGGTGATAGAAATTTTGAATCTAGATCAAATAAAGATTTTAATATTTTGAGGAGTGTCATAATACAAAATGTTATTATGATTTTGTTCGTATCGTGATTTTATCTTGTATTTTTGTATTCATCAAAGATTAGAAGATTTATATGATCAAGACTAAAAAAAATTATGACTAGAACGCTACACAAAGTCGTTAAAGTCATTGCAATTGCTTGAATATTAAACTCTACTCTTACGACAAGAAGAAGACGATATAGTTTCAAAGTTAGCAAATAAACAATAAAAAAGAGGAAGAAAGGAATAGACGTCTTGATTCTTGAAACTCATAAAACGTTTTGGGGCTTTACTGGGTTGGATTGTTGTATGTTGTTTGGCTTTGCAAAAGTAATTTCAAAAAAGAATAATGCTATTCAAATATGGATAGGGATAGATGCCTTTTCTTTTCAAACTGATAGCTGATTTTGCACGTGTCCTTGTGTTTTTAATCCTCGTCACTGAGCCTATTTGTGTGGCATGATTGTTTAAAAATTTGATGGCACCACTTAATTGAATTCATTGTCATATTAATTATTAATTATTTTGAGTAGATTTTTATTAATTTTACTTATTTTCATGTGTTAGGTTCGGACCAAATTGTAGTTTTCTAGTTTATAATTTTAATCTGTAATCAAATTTTAAAAAGATGGACTAAATAGTAAGTTTGATTCTGATCAACGGCGAGCTATGATTTTAGAGTTGATGATGGCAAATTTCTATAATTAAAAATGTGGGGGCAAAATTGATAATTACTTTGAGTAGATTTCTATTAATTTTACTTTGAGGAGACTCCACTTGAAACACGGAAAAAAATATAGAGTTCCAAAATGGTGTCAACGATTTTCAGTAAGCAAATAATATAAAATTGAATAACTTATTGTATCAGAATCAACACATTTTCGTCACATGTGACTGCTGGAAGTTGATTTCGCTCACTCGACCAAGCAAAATTTGGAAATAAATTGTTTTAAGCAATTATAGCCTAATCTATTGTATATTTCACTTATTATGTAAAACTCGATGATTGAAAGTGAGATTGAAAAGGCAAAAAATGATTAAGTACAAAGTTTGGGGACCAAATTGCAAACATCCAATGTTTGGTTTGGACCATTAGAGATACTTTAAATATTGCTCGGAGTCAATTGGGTGCAACTAAAAGTTAAAAAGAAATAGAACGTAATTAGAATATTACGATAAATCGATTTTCAATCACAAAAAATATCTTTCAAATTTTTAGTCAAATATTAAGACTCATTTTTGGTATAATAAACGTCTGAATTGGAAATTTTCTATTTATAGAAAAATTGTAACCCTTAAGTTAGCTTTTTAATGCACTATGAATCATCTGAATCAAATATCTGAGGAGAAAGTTATGACCAAAATATTGACTATTGTGAATTTACAAAAACACGCGCGCACGAATGTAACTTTTCTTAATCGATTAGAACTCTTTAGGAAACCAATTTTGACATGATTTTCAACCAATTTTTGACTCTTACAAATATCTAATAGCAAAATACATTGAAGGACCACTTTCCTACACCTCTCATGTAAATATTATTCTCCCATATTTATTAATTATTATCGTCAAAGAAAAAATTCATAGTTTTTGTGAGAGAATTAAAAGGAACTTGTGAGAATTCAATCAAGTGAAGATTTAAACTTGATTTTTGGACAAAGATGAGAAAGCACAATTGGATATTCATCAAGAAACCATTAAAAAGATTCAAAATTCATCTTCATCTTCTCAATTTATCAAAAATCCGGGTTAAGTCTTTTCACTTAAATATGATTTCATGTAATTTCAATATATTAGGCTAGTTTTGTACATTGCTAGGATGAGATGAACCATTGTTAAGATATTTTTAGTTTTTAATTAATTATTTTGACTTTAATTTGCTTTGATTGGTGGGTATTTATTATAGTTTTTATCCTTATTTTCAATTGCTTGATCACCAATTGAATTGTTAATGAATTTTATTGTTATCGAGAGAAACAATAGATTTAGGCACAATATAATAAATATTCTAAACAATAGGTTTAGGCACAATATAATAAATATTCTAAGGGTTGATAAAGGATGGATATATACTTCTATATTTTATATGATTTCAATAAGTGTTCAACCCTTGTTAATGCATTTTTTATGTTTGTATCTTTCATAGAGAGATTGAAGGGTCATATGAGGGGAATATATTTGATCGCCATTGAGAGAGACTTTCAATTAATTTATAAACATTAATCTACATGAATGATTCCAAATTGTTATTTTAATTGTTACACTAAAAATGAAATAATAAAGGGGATTCGAAATCTTAGCAATGCTTCTCACATATTTGAAAAACACATTTATTTGATTTCACTAGTTTAATTAATAATTTAACGATTAGATAGAAAAATTACAACTTGTTTGCAATTCGAATAAAATTGCAATTAATTTTAACTTGATCAAATACACAGTCCTCGTGGATTCGACACTCTATTTATCATTATATTATTTGTTCACGTTCTCGTTCACTTATGAAAAATCAAATAAATAGAATGCTCAGCAGATGCATGTATTTTAGGGCAACTTATGGCTTGTTTTCCACCTTGAATTTCAAAATACAAGCTTTCAATTCGAGAAGAGCTCATCATATCATTTTGAGAGTAATATATCTTGAAATTCTTGAAGATTATATAGAGATGACAAAATATCTCAACCACATCTCGTCCTTTCTCGCTCCATCTCCCTTTTCGATTGGGGAATCAATGAGGAAAAGGGGAACACGATCCCATCAAGACTGTTATTTCTAATTTAAAATTTAATTTAAAAAAAAAAAAGTAAATATGGAGCACGAGGTGGGAAATGAGGTGTTTATAATCCTCAATTCCGCTCACCTTCTCGAAATCTCTGACGGTGTGGGGACAAGAAGGGTTACCCCACCCTATTGTCTCTCTTAAGATTAACCAAGAATAAGGAAGAAGGAGACCGAAGTTTAGAAATTTCGAATTACAAGTCTGAGATTCCCCTTTATTTATTTATTTTTATAGGAAACACAATAATGTATTCTACTTTTTAAATATATTTTTTGCAATTCGAACATGAATAAATAAACCTTAGTTAACTGGGACGACAATGTCATGAAGCTATAACTTAGTTTTCAGGTCTTTAACTTCAAAGTATTAATTCATGCTTGGCTAATTGACCGGTAATGCTCTTAATGCATTCGTTTACTTGACCAATAACTTGAATGATTTGAGAACTGTAGCATTTTTTATTTATTTTTTTAACTTCAAAGTAACTTTAAAGTGTTAACATATGCTTATATTTTGTGTCTAGCGTCTTTGAGACATCCTTTTTGTTTCGCGCGGATAGTCGCTAACAATTAAAAAAGGATCAGACGATTGTGTAAGGAACAAATCTCTTGAGACAAATTTCCAAAAAGGGGTATTTTATTGGTGATGACTTTAAAATTGGAACTTAAACAGAATGCCTCCAAGGGACGCAAGCACACGAGTACTGAAAAGAAATGTTTAAATCTAAACTAAGAAATTGAAATTACATATTCTCTGTTTGAAAGTGTTTGATTCGGAGTCCTTTACTCTATGTCTTTTCTTCCTTTTATATTCCCTTGATGATCTCTTCGTGATCAACCGTTTAGAAACTATTTAATTGCTTTATAACTGCTCATTTTCTTCATGGTGGCCAACTTATCGTGGAACTAC